AATTATTATTTGACATCATTTTTTATGTAAAAACTAGCCACATGCAATTAAAAATAATTAAAATTAAAAGCAATAATAATAATTGTTATATTATTATTATTATTATTATTATTTTGTTTAATTTTTTTATCTAGGTAAAATATTCAATTCTACAACAACAACAACATCAAGCCTCTGTCCCGCTACATGAATTCTTTTTTATTCATTGTGTCATGTTAAAAGTCAAATTCTTTTTTAAATCTAATAAAGAAATCTCATTTCTAATATTTTATAATCAAATTTTTAGATATATTTTTATCTTTGTTAATATAAGTCAAATCTAATCAGAAGGCTATCATTTTTATGACCAAATCATTTAAGACGAATCTCTCAAAAATTGGAGTTATTCAAACCTTTTTAGGTATATGCTAATTTCGCATCCTATGTCTAAAAGAAAAAAAAAATAAATTTTTGGTCCCACCACTTCCTTATTAAAGTGTGTTTCCGTTATGTCTTCTCTTACATGTCCCAAAAACATTTTCACAATTTCGAAAAGAAACCCTTTATTCAACCATTTTTTTAAAAAAATTAATTAAAATAAAAAATGTATATTTAGCATAGCTAATTAATTAAATAAAATTAAAAAAAAAGTTTGAAACCTATTTCAGTTTAAATCTTTTCTAAGTGTTCAATAGTTTTTATTTTTACGATCTTCTCCATCATCCTCTGCTCTCTCCCCGCCCATAGGCCATAATCTCTCCCCCTCTCTCCTTCTCTCTCCCCTTCTCTCTCAAGCAGGGCACGCAGTTCCAGCGACAGCCTGGCAGGCGAGCTTCTTACAAAATCTGTGACTAAGCCTCCTCTGTTCCTCTCCACTGTTCTGCCTCCACCTCTAAAGCTTCTTAGAAGGAATTCCAGAGTTGTTTCTTCACATCAATGGCGCCTCTCCTTTGACTCCTTCCCACCTAATTCCTCTTCAATCCGACCTTCTAAGTTCTAACACAAAAAGCTTCTTTGTCCGTCAATATGCATTCCAGCTAATGTTTTGATTGGCACATCGAAAGAACTCTGGTGAAGTTCTTCTCATTTAGGTATTCCAGCCCTAATTTCTTTTGTTTGATGAGGTATATGTTATGATGTTCACACAAATCTATTTGTTTATTTTTGTTTGATGCTGAAGATTTGTACTGGAAATGGGTTGTGTGCACTCGAGAGTGGAAAAGGAGGAGACGGTGTGGAGATGCAGAGAAAGGAAAAGGTTTATGAAGCAGCTCCTTAGTTGCAGATCCGAGCTCGCAGCTGCTCACATGGCGTACCTTCAGTCATTGAGAAACACAGGGGCCACTCTACGGCAGTTCACCGAGGCGGAATCCGAGTTTTTCGGTAACTCACCTCCTCGTGTTGCATTGCCCCCCTCGCCACCACCTCCGCCGCCTCCTCCTCCTCTACCACCTTCCCCTCCGCCTCCTCCTCAACAAAACACCTGTAAGAAGGTAATGGTGGTGGACGAAAGAAGTAGCAATGATGATGATGATGATTCTTCGATTGGTATAGATACTGATGATGATGATAATGTGAGTTGCATGCCTCCGCCTCTTCCCATTCATAGCTTAGATTGGGATTTCTGGGATCCATTTGGCATTCCATCGGGTTCAAATTCTTCCTCGCTAATAATGTTGAAGAAGGCTGATGGAATGAGCATGCAGGGTGTAGTGGAAGAAGAGAAGTGGGCTGAGACCATCACAGAGTTTGAAGACGAGGAAGGGGAGAAGAAATTTGAAGGCTCTGGTGCGGATGTGGCTTTGATTTTAGCAAAGGATAAGTCACCTTCAAGGGAATTGACTGATGACAGCTCTTCAACGGTTAGTAGGATCACTAAAGAAACTGATGCAGCTGTGGTGCTATGGAGGAGCAAGAAGACATTGACAGGGATTGTGAAGGAGATTGATGATTATTTTTTGAAGGCTGCTGCTGGCGGTAGTGATCTATTAGTTCTTTTGGAATCTAGTCATGGCCATAATCTTGAAAGCAATTTCAAGAACACTAAGGGTGAATCACATTTCATCTCTACTTCATTGCAAGGGTGTTGCAAAAAATATTAGGAGCCACTTACCAGTTCTGTCTTGCCTATTCAACACTATTGTGAATTTTAACGCCATATCAATGACTTTAATCACGTTGTTCTTTAGTTTTGTAATGGTTTGTCACTGCAATATTGAATATCATGATTAAAAAATTCTTAAACCTTTTATAAAGGCTATTATTATCGGGTGGCTGTCCAAATCATGAATTTAAATGTTTTTTTGCAATGGCAATATAATGCATATTACCAATGCTGAAGTAATTTCAATTTTTTGTGTACATTATCATTACATAAACTAGAAAGGAAATGTTTCATATGATCATCTTCATATTTTCGTCTATTTTTGTTAAAGCATTAGGTGAGCATCAAGTTTTGAAGTGCCAAAACACATTTGAATGGCTTAAAGATCATGATAGTTCTCTCTTGGCGTCTTGGCCCTTAATTCTTTCGCATAACATAGAATCATGAATGTATTAAGCTCGATGGTAACTTTGATTCCTTCTTATTTTTAAGAATTCTACCTCTGATTTTGCGAGCCTATTAGTACACCTTCAAATTTTTAATATTATATGCAGGGTAGAATCATTTATATGATAGAAGAAGCTTCCTTGTTCATTTGTGGTGTTTTCTAATATGGAAGCAAGGCAATTTGATAAATTATCATTCCTACTCTATTCACAGTTATTCACTCTTTGATACATTGATGAGGTTCTACTGTATGCATCAACATACTTAAGTTATTTCAAATGAAGCTGCTCTTTTTGTTATTCTGCTCTTTAATGAGTTGCTGAAGTTACTATATCTTTCTCAATATTTCCTCTATTTTCAGGAAGGACTTCAAAATCTGCCAAAGTTTTGTCTTGGAATTGGTCTCTTAAAACTCCTCATTCAAATAGAGGTGCTTGTGGTCAAAGTTATTGTGAGTCATGCAAAGCAGGTAAACATCGCACCACACTTCAAAAGATTTATGCTGAAGAGGAGAAGCTTTACAAGGAAGTTAAGGTAACCTTTGGAAAACCAAGTTCATGACTTCTTAGAAATGCTGATTTAATATTTAATAGATTAAGAAATTTGATGGCCTTTGCATAGGAGGAACATTGAAATTAGCTTGATTTGTTATCTATTAATGCTTGGAGCTCTTCTATATTTGGATGTGGGAATATGATTAATTCCAGTATGGCTTCTCATTTTCAACCTTTCCAAACTATATTAGGCTTGCTTTATGAATCCCCCTCTAATTATTTTTGTTGAGTGCTTCTTCAAATGTTGTGTTCCAATTTCGCATATCTATTTTTTATAGATACTAGTTATATAACACCTACCTACCAATTTCCTTGTTTAACTTCCCACATAAATTTGATTTGTTTATCTTATTAGTGAGTCTTCTACCATTTGATCTACCTCTAAAATTCCTAAGTGATTATGACAATGATGCAACTAATGTGATTTGTTGTCTTGGGATGAGGTTCATGTTGGTGTCTTGGGAGAAACAATTTCAGGTTAAACCTCAATATTTGTTATACAACTGGTCCAAAATCTTCACTTGCTCAATTTTGGCCAAACTCGATCAATGCTTGGTTGATAGAGTCAACATTGGTTAACTTGTGTTGGAATAATTCAAACCCTATTAGGAGGGATCCATAGGGCAGAATGAGCCAATATGAGTTTCAAGGAACCCCAATTGAACCAAAGGAACTCAACTTGAGCAAAGTTAGTTGATGTATAATGTCTTAAAGTGTAAGTTTTCTATTGCCACTTCTATTTGATAAAATATGAGACAAAATACTATGCAACAATTGGACAAAATTATGAAGCAATAAACTATTAGATCGATCCAACCGATCAACGTGGGACCAGCCCGTGTGTGAAATGGCGGAGGTCTTCCGCCTCCCTGTAGGAGCTGTGCGAACCGCAAGTCCACGGGAGCCAATTTGGAAGGATTTTTTTGGGAGTTTAGGAGGGAATTTGTATGCAAGGACTGTTTAGAGATTTTCTTTTGATTTGTATGCATTAACTAGTGTGTTTTCCTAGGGTTAGGGCATCTTGAATTTGGCTGAAATTTGAGATCAGATTTAGGTTTTCTTTTGGGCTCTAGCGGCGTCTATAGATTTGGGAGAGATCGATCATCCTCTCGAATTGAGGATCAACTGTATCTTACTATTTTCCGTTTCTATTTCATCAAATAATAGAAATTATCTACGGTTTTTGTGATTTTGTGCGGATTTTTGTGAAGAATTCTTGCTGTTTTCCGAAGATTGATAGGAAATACTTGAGATCTACAAGTATTTCCTATCATAAACTTCAAATTTTAAACAATTATTAGTTAATTTTTATGAAAGCCATATTTTTTTGCTAGAAATATCGAATAGGACTTCATAATTGAGAAAGTTGCACGTTATAACTCATACTCTCATTTATTGTGATATTACCTGGTTTGGCCTATTAGGTTGTACAAATTTTATCCTTTGATGTAGCTTTCCTAAAAGTTCAAAATTTTTAATGCTCTAGTGATTACTCACTCTAAAAAAAATGTTGGGACATAGATATGAACCTCTTAACTAGTCCAAAGAATCTATTCAAACACATACAATCAATGGTGATTTGGACAGTTGATTTGCTTGGCTAGCATCCTTTTAGCATAATTTTTAAGGTTTCAGATGTCGATAACCAAGACATAGTAACAAATCTAACAACATTAATCCATTCAATAAATCGAGTTTGCCCAAATATTGTGACAACTGAGAGAATAATGGATGCAACCAGTTAGAGCGAAATGTCCATGAGAATATCATCAACTTTGATCTAAAAACGAGTAGCAATTCCTCACTATAAATATGACATATGTGAAGTATATTATCCCATTAGTGTAGAGGGAGGGCAATGTGAGGGAGGAATCTACACCATTTCCATTTTCTTCAAGTTGGTTCTCAAAGTCACTTAAACAATGGCACTCCCGGACAATGATTTGTGAGAACTCCAATCTTCTTATTAGAGCAATGAAAACTCATCTCCCCCTTGTCAAGCGGATGTAGGCCATAAACCCTTCCAATTGAATTTTTGTTGCCTTAAATGGTTTGGTCACTTAAAATGGCGGCCTTCCCGATGACCCACTAGCCCGTTCAACATGGCCGCCAAACTAAATAGAATACCTTAGAAAAGAAGCTCTTGTAAGCATAACTATATTTAATGCTTTATGAATAATAAAATTAGAATTTTAATTTATTCTCATAGCTTTTTAGTTTTTACGCAATATATTTTTCATTTTTATGATCATAATATTTAGATTTTTGGAAAAGCTCATATTAGTGCTACGTTTTGTGCTTAAAAGTGAAGCTCTCCAATATAAGAAGTTGACACTTTGTTTTGCAAAAAGCATATAGAATGCTTTACAGCTCTGCTCTGAGTATAGCAGATGTCACTCCTTGTAAGATGTAACTTGCTTTATTTCTAATCTTAAGATCTGATTGATTAAAGGTGAAGCATTTTATATAGTGAAATTTCTTTTCTTCCTTTTATCTTCTTGCACGATCATTTGAATATCTCAAATTTATTTTACCTTAGTTTAGCACTTACACAATTTTAATTTTTTTCCATATTTAAAAATGTGTAAGCACCAGTAAAGCACTTGAACCTTAGGAAAGCGAGCTATAAGGTTCATGCAGGAAGCATAGGCTCATAAAGTTCAATTTAATTAGTTTTTACAGTAATCAAGCATTTTTTATAGGTTTAATTTAAATTGTTATAATAAGGAAACATTTAAATGTGTAGAAAAAAAAGTTAGAAGTTTATATAGAGATAAGCATGATATGAAACTAATTTTGTGTATGGAGAGACCATAGTTTATGATAAATTATTATTTTACCAAAGTACGACATATAATAAACAAGGATTCATATATAGATATTATTTATACCTTTAATGGTTTCCGAAATACTTATGAGTTGAATGATTAAAAATTCTTGCCCACATAAGCATGTGTTTAAGAGAAATGAACTTACAAATAATCGGAAAGGAGGGATTTTATTCAATCTGGTGTTGGAAGAGCGTCATTTGAGGTAGCAATGTGGTAGGTTGACTATTCTTTGCACACATTGAAGCATAAGCTTTTTAAAGCTTCAAAACAAAATGGAAATCTTAAGCTTCGTCGACTTTATTCTTCAAGGGCATTGCTTTAATGCATCTGGGAGAGACTTGCTTTAAAATGTAGAGAAGCATGTTTTGAAACGAAGTGTTCTAGAACAATGTAACTTTTTAACACTCACAATAGTTGGCAAATATAATTTCATATAGCTACACTTTTTGAACCTTGCATTTCACTTTGATACGGTGTGATGCGCATTGCTCATTGCACTTTTTTTTTTCCTTAATGTTATTTGTCATAAATAGGAACTTCATGCAGCTTATATATATATATATATATATATATTTTTTTTTTTTTCTGATACAAAAATTGCTTAAAATGCTAATTAAATTATATTTTTCATGAAGTTTGGCTTAACCTGGTAAGAATCTTCAAAAGGTCTGTGAAAAGCTGCTAAATGAAGCCAGTTTTGGCTTTCTACTGAGATAATAAGTCAATCTTTACCTTAAATAGTTGCATCTTTGAACTTATAATTTGCTTATAGTGGTGACACATCATTATCTTACTTGTTTTATGGTGGGTAACATATAGGAGGACGAGCTTGTCAAAATTCAGCTGAAGAAGATGATCTCATTACTTGATAAGTTGGAGACAACTGAGAATGACTACACAAAGTCTGAAAAATTACGATTAGATGTTGAAACTTTGCAGACTCAAATCCTTTCTCTGCAAGAATCAATTAATGCGACATGCCTGTCCATATCAAAATTAAGGGATGAAGAATTGTATCCTCAATTAGTGGAGTTAACATTTGGGTATATATACTTATAAACTTGTTCTCCTTCCTCAAATCCAGCTTAAGCTTGATTGGTTCAATTTGTTATAAATACATGCAATCTTTTGAATAACTATTTTATTATTATATTGGTGGACACTAAGCTATCACTCCAACTTGCTGCTTACTAGAGTATCTGAATCATGGCTTTCCTCTTAAGATCTTTAAATTTCAACTAATAACCTTCAGTTTGGCTTGGCCAAAATGTTCCTTATTACATGCCCGTTTTGCTATATTACTTGCTCCAACTCTTCTAATGCCTTTCAAAACTCCTTACAGTCATGCATTTGAGTCCTCTTTTCTTCATATAGGTTTTTGCGCATGTGGAGGATTATGTATGAGTGCCACCAGGTTCAGAACCATATTTCTCAGCAGGCAAATCTTCTCGACAACCATCCAGGAACTGAGCCAACAACTGATTCCCATCGCTTTGCCACAGTTCAGCTGGAAAATGAGGTTGCATCTTGGCACGCTTCTTTCTGCCATCTTCTCAAATCTCTACGTTCCTATGCCCATGTTCTCAATCAATGGGTGAGGCTTACTGATTGCTTGCCCTGTTGTACTAACGCTCCCAAATCCATAAAAGGGATCCACTCTCTTTGTGAAGAATGGCAGATGGCTCTTGGTCAATTGCCAGACAAGGTGCCTGCTTTCTCTCCGTATGCACTGTATTTTCATTTTATTTGCTAGCTTGCAATATAACAAGTTGAAATTTGAACTTGTGCTTGGTTTTAACACTCATCTCTTCATGTTGAGGCTTGGCACTTTTTTTTTTTTTTAAGTGTTTAACTAATCAGTTAATGATTTTACTGCATTTTGATAAATTTTACTCTTAATTGATTATGGAATTGAGTATTTTTCATATTTGTAGTTCGTCTAATCTTGTAGCTGGGCTGACAACTTTTATGGCTTCTGTTATTTTGGAAGCTTTTGTGATAGTAATTACTTGAGTTCGCAAGTAATCCTATCGGATCTACTTGAGTTCGCAAGCAAACCTAACAATAATCGGTAAAAATAGCTAGAAAATGAAGGAATCGTGGTGGAAGAACAATCAAGCGATATCAAATCTTATAACAAACAAAGAGAAACAATAACAAAGCAAATATACAAGAGATCCTCAATTCGAGAGGAGGATCATCTCTCCCAAATCTCTAGACAAGTGAGTCTAGAGCCTAAGTCACCAAGAAATCCTAATTCCAATCAATCAAAACATAATCATCCCTAATCCTCTCCTCCCCTTTAATACAAAAGTTTTCCTAATTTAATTTCCCTCTCAAGTCCTAGCCACCCACTCCTTTTCAATTTGAATTTGTTTGGACTAGTGGGGCCCACCCCTTTGGGCGTAATCATGAGAAGAGGCAGAAGGAGTCTGCCTCCTGTACACAAACTGAGCCGGCCCCCTTTGGGCCGGCTGGGCCGGTTCACATTGAACCGGCATATCATTTTTCCTTAGCATCGAGAAATAAAAAAAATCCTCAAAATAGTGCCCGAACTATTCATGTGTGGCCAATTAGTCCAAAGTATCACGTTATTGCAATTTAATATTTTGACTATTCAAGACAATTCCAAAATGATCTCTCATATTGTAATTTTGATATAAAATTGATTCCAATTTAGTGCAAAAGTAATCATTTTGGATAGTTGAGGGACTAAAGTGGAACAACGTTATATTTTGAGATTAAATTGATCATATATGAATAGTCGGAGGACTATTTCGAAGTTTATGCCATAGAGAAATTGAGGCATAGACATTTTTGGTGCTTTGTTATTTGTTTCCTGCTTTGTTACCCCAATGAGAAACTATATGTACCTCAAATTATTTTATTCATATTAAATTGTTTGGGGTGATGTTTTGACTTAGCATGTAAAGGTTTAGTTCTTAGTTAAATTTAAAAATGTGAATTTGGAAACAATATAATATGAAATGTTTATCCAACACTCTAGTTTCTAAGAAGAGCTAGAAAGTCTAGCATCAACAAGGCTTTGTTTGGTTCGGTTGTACTTGTCTTTTTCTTTTTCTTAAATAAATGTCTAAAAGTTGCCTTATGATCATCAATCTTAATTTGCCATTCAAAAAGCAAAATTTTAACTGAAATTGTAAAACAAGGAAAAAATTGCTAGTCCGTAACTTGTAATATCTAACATTTTGTCGTAGCACAAAGAAGGTAACAAGCTGAGCCAAATCAAGCAGATGGTATCTTATTTTGTGTATTTTTGGTACAGCTTCTTAATCAACATGAGAGTTATAGATGTAATTTTATAATGATGGAAATTTGTTGATCACTCCCCAACTGTTTGTTGTGCTTGTTATTACTCAATTATACATATCTTTAATAACTTAATGTACGTTTGGGACATCTTTTCTCTTTAATCTACATAGTGTGCATTCTTGGTGTTGCATAAAATTAAAATTACTAGCAGTAAAATTGCATGTGGCAAAATGACGATGCTAATATGGAAGTGTGGTATAATTAGAATAAATAGGAGTGTGTCAACAACATCCCAAGCTCATTGAAATTGGTTTGAGAATGATAGAGTGAAATGATTATATTAGACTTGATGATTTGGTCATAAATAACAAAGTGCGGAGGATGCATATTTAAATTTGTTGATAAGATTAATGTGAAAGGAATATCAAGGAAAAGGGGTTATATCAAAGGAAATATGGGTTAGAGTCATTAAATAAGTAAAATGAAGGGGGATTTACATACATACTATAATATTTATATATTTATATGCATCTGACATCTAAACTTGCATATTTACTTATAGAATACCCAACTTTTTAAATTATGTAAAAAATATCACTAATATAAAAAATTTTAAAATAAAATACCCCTTTTTATACATATGTTTTGATGTATTTAAGATACTAAAATGCTATATAGGTAAATATCAAAGTTTAATTATTAGTTATATAAATACATAAGAAATATGTGGTATATATGTGAACTCTTATAACACATCTGGAATGAAGGTAGAGATGAATTTATAAATTCTATGCCAAATACTTGGGATAATATCAGTGCGTTTATGGAAAAATAAGAAATTGAAATCTAATATTTTTGAAGGTGTTCATTGTCAGTGAAGGAACTGTCAAAAAATGCAAGCCAAGATGGGTTGTTTTTAGAACTTTTGATAAGAGTTTTTCATCTCGCTTATCCCTATTGAATAGATGGTCAAGAATTTTGCACTGAATAGAAAGGAAATATCTAAACCAATTGTACTTGCTAGTATTTTTAGTACGTTTTCGATCATACAAGAATGATTTAAAGCTCTTTTTATTGTTAAAACAGGTAGCTGCGGATTCAATAAAAAGCCTCGTCTCAGTCATCCACTCTATAGTTCTGCAGCAAAATGTGGAACTTAGCCAGCAGAAGAAATCAAAGCGACTCGAAAACAGGTTGGAAAAGGAGCTAAATTCCATCAACCCCGCACTAAGTACAGATCCTGATAACCAACCATCATCAAATAATACAAAATTAGAAGCCCTCAAGAAGAGGGTAGAGGAAGAGAAAGCCAAGTACTTGAGCTCCATTTGTGTCAGCAGAGCCATGACCTTAAACAATCTCCACGCTAGCCTGCCAAATGTTTTCCAAGCCCTCATGGGTTTCTCAATTGTATGCTTGCAAGCTCTCGACGGTATCGTCCAATCTGCTGAAGCGCCGACAGAATCTTAGCAATTTGATTTGCTATATTGAGGTAATGAAGATTCTTTATAAACTTATTTTGATCCAGATGAGGTTTCTGAGTAATGTTTGTTGGTTCTTTTTTGTTGCAGAAAGATTTTTGGTACAAAGCTTCTGCATGAGAAGGATCATCTGCTGTCTTAGGTTTCTTTTGGGATGGATTTTTTACTGCTTCTCTAAGTAGCTTTGGAGTACAAAAATGTTAACATTTGTACTAGATAGCTATTTTAAAAAGCAGTAAGAAAGCTGTCCCAAATAAAACCTTAATTTCACAATGAAGGTTTGGCATCTGATTCAATGAAAGTATTGTTTGGTTAAAAATAAGTAAAATCACATAGTTTTTGTATGCGGGAGTTATTATTTTTCAGTTGTCTATTCTAAATGAATTTCTAGATCTTTATGATGTATATCAGAACACCTTGAAGATGTTCTACTATTTTCTGCTTTCTTAACGTTTTTGTATTGTTTTTTATTGAATTTGATGGCAGTAGATGGTGTTTCTCAGCTTTTTAGATTGAAGGTTTAGATCATACATGTTGAAGTTTTATGAGATAAGATGAGATTGATAAGACTTGTTATTTGTTAGAAAATTTGTATCAGTAGAGTGAAAAATTGTAAAACTGATTTTTTTTTTTTCCGTGTAAAACCCAATAAGGAAAAAAATCATTGTGCTTATCACAGTTATAATAATTCACTATAGAATTGAAGATACCAAATTTTCCCTTCTTTATAATTGAAGAAGATGAGAAAGAGAGAGAGAGAGAGAGAGAGAGAGAGAGAGGAAGCTTGTTACATATTAGGTTTGGATTTATTCTATTTAAATATTAGTTATTATTTATATTATTATTACTAATTATTATGATTAGTTATTGTTATATAATTAACTATATATTTATATATATATGTGTGTGTTTGTGAGAGGATGACAAAAAAAAGAGAGGAGATATTTCGAAAAAAAAAAGAGAAAGAGAAGTTAAAAAAAAAGGGGGATTTATTTTGTGCAAAAAAGGAAAGTTTTACAAATTTTGAAAAATCCGTTTTGACGCTTATTGCGTGGCGAGTAACCACCCATGCACGCTTTTCTTAGCACGGTGGGAGGAAGGTCGTCGCAGTGCTTGTGGCGAGGCAGGTAAGCTCCATAAAGTCTTGTTTTTGATGTTCGTGGCGCGCCAAGGGACCACCCATGCATCCTTTTCTTAGCATGGTGTGAGGAAACTTGGTGCGACACTTACAACGAAGCGGACGATCCCTGTGTGCGCTTTTCTTAGCACGGTGAGACAAAATATAAGTAACTGTACGCGGGAAAAATTGCTTTTTCAAATAGGCACCCCTGAAAACTCATGCACGTCTTTCTTGGCGTGGTTGGGGATGAAGAATACGGCCGCGGTGTCTCACAACACCGACCGTGCACGTCTTTCTTGATGTGGCGGGCAGGCTATGACTCTTGGTTTTCCCCCTAAACGGGAGAGACACCGGGAGGTTGCCGGATTTTTTCAGCAAAATTGGGTACTTGGACTTGAACTTAAATCAATTGATAAAGAATGATGAGTTGAGATTATAACTAGGTACAACTACAAAAGCATTAACTCAATTTGAACAATGAAGTGAACTTGTACTTTGAACTCGAACAATACAACATCAAGTGGAACTTGAACTTGATTGTGACATAGTGCATATGCACTGTACTTGCAAATGAAATTGAAATGAGCTTGAATTTGAATCTCATTTGATTCAAGAGAGCCAAGACTTGAACCATTTGAACAAGCAACAGAACTTGAACTTGGACAAATGCAAATAAGGGACCTAATTTGAACATAATTTGGATAGATTGAACTCAAGCAAAGACTTGAGTTGGACCATAAGGGACTTCATTTGGACTTGATTTGGCTTCAAATGACAAATAATAGGAGACTTAAAACCAAACATCAATCAGCTTAATTTGAACATGAAATAAGCATAGTGGACTTGTGGATTTCAACATAACTTGTAACAACATATTTCCAAGCAAGGGAGTAGGGAAATGCAATAGTATGCTCATGCTTAACAATACAAAGTCTTTAATGAGCGTTAAGGAATTATCATTTCAATTGAGAAGCCAATTCATCATGCAAGATTTAAGTCATCTTCATATGACAGTAGAAGACTTGTAGCAATCAACATGGCTCATGTACATGCAAACAATCATGCATACATGTTATAAACACAAGATCAAAATGAAATTAAATGCATTGAGTCCTACAAACAGTGGGGCTTAGGCTGAATGAAGCTTCAATGTTGATTAGTGATAACATGCATTACAAACCATGGAAGAACAATAATTGATTGATTGCAACATTTATATCAATCATGCAAACAAACGTACAAAGTCCCTTAACGATGGCGTCAACCGCTACTTTATAGCATGTATACAGGGAGGCAGTGATGAGTGCGATCATATACTTGTGAAGAAAGTATAAAATATATAATGAATGCAATAGATGTCATGCAACAAACACTATGACCTTTGAGGGCAAAGAAATTCACAAGCAATGACAGAATACGACGACTTGTTTTCAACCAATAAGCTAAAGTTTTATGTGAATGTTGAAGAATCATCATGTTGATTATGAACACAAGCACCAACAAATACAAGTCATCCTACGAGCACGACAATTTGATGAATTCAATGAATATGATTATGTTCTATGATCAATTGGTGAATGTCAATATGCAAATGAATACACTGATTTTTATTACATTGGACTGTTATACAGTGAACGTGGCAATAATCTGCAGATGACAATTGAATACATCGAAGCAATGAAATTGAGGTTGATGATGGTCAACACAATAGCCTTATAAGAAAACACAAGTAGTCTCTACTGCATCCATGTTTATGAATGAATCATCATACACTATCCACAGTCGAATACAAAAAGAACTATGGATGGGCATGAACGTCTACTAGCAATAATGGAATATCTGCCGTACATATGTACACACCACATGCCACCTGTGGATAGATGCAAAAAAAATTCAGTGAATGCAGTATCCTGTAGTCAATTCTAGTCAGCGAATGAATACATCTACCCGCAATAGTAATGGATGTAATGTGAGAACCAAAATCACAGTGAAATGCATAAAGAATGCGGTGAATGTAAGCTCCTATGAACTATTGTATGATATATGTTCTACACCTAATATACTGTTACAAACAAAATACAAAGGACTACACAAATGCAAATTTCTACAGGCTTTCATAAAGACCTTTCAAACATATCAAAATGTCCCTGCACATGCATTGTAATTTGTATACACATAGGTACACAAAAGGGTCAAGGGCAATCACAAAACCCGCATGGGTCCTGGGGCGCGTATTTTAGGAACATACATTTAGAGATACCACAAATACAAAATCAAATAATATTGATCTCATTAGATTTATTTCATTGAGTTAATCAATTTGATATAAATATTTCATAATTGAAGATCATTTGGTCTTTCATTCAATTTCTATTAAAAAAAATTTAAATATAATTCAAATATTTGATCTAAATTATTCAATTCAATTATAAGTTTATTGAAACCAGATTTGAATTGATCTTGAAATTAATTTGAGAAATTTTCAATTCAAATATTAGCTTTAGATTTGTCCATCGTGCTAAATTTTTTGTAGGCCTATCAAAACTCAATTCAAGAAATATATCTTCATCTCTGCTAATTCAATTAGGTGGTTCTGTTTTTCTCTTTTTATGATCATAATATATTTTTTCCCGCTTTTTTCTATTTCAATATTTTTGGGGCCCACAAGAAAAACCACTCCACAGGAAAAAATTGAATATATATATTTTGTGTTATTTTTCTAATAGATATATTTTGTGCTTTTTACCCCGTTATTAACTGCGTTGGTAGCTCATAAATTTATTTATTAACGTTTTATTGTTTGGAAACTTGCTGTATTATTTACCTAAATAACTTTAAGCATATAAATTAATTTTAAAAATAAGTTATATATGAAAATATGATATTTTCTAATATTCAATAAACATTAATACAACTATCATAAGCTTAAGATTTCATTTGTGATAATTTTTTTTACTATTTTTTAAAACACCTTTTTAATATAAAAATAAGGGTGACAATATTTGATCGGACTTGAATATCCGATTCAAACCCGACATGAAAACTTCGAGTTAGGGTTAACCTGTTTGAGAAATGAGTCGGATTCAAAATTCCTACCCATTTATAAAATTGGATCTAATTTAGGTTGACCTTAACACGTACGTAAAATCAAGTCAGATTCGGGTCAAAAAAGCTACCACATTTTTAAAAACAAAATGGATTCGTGTCGAGTCAAATAGTGCCGGATCAATTCCCGATTAGACCCAAACCTAACCCGTGACCCGATTTTGACAGTCATATGTAAAAACTTCTTAAACTAAAATTTTTTATACTAAAAAATAATTTTAAAAATCAATAAAAAAATTTGTCCCAAATGAAGCCTAAATAAGTAAGTGCATCAATGATTACTTGTTTGAAGATACAAGCATATAAAAACCATCATAAATAGGCCAATCTAATCTTACAATAGCACTCCCTCAACAGAAAACAAATTGAGAGAGAAATCAGACAGATTATTTGCAAGACAAAATTACAAGGAATTATTTTGAAGAAGAAGAAAACTACACTGAATACATCTGGTGATCTAAACAATTACAGATTGAAAATGCAGAAGTTGCTGAAGATTCCCAAGATCCAATAACTTGAAGGGGGGAATACTCAAAATGTTCTCAGCATCTATATTTTAAACTATAGAGTCATTACTTAGTAAATTTGTGACGAGCTGTTATTCCCTTCACATTTCCACTTGGTCCCAATCAAGCGATTTGTCTTCAAAGGAAAAATTTGGATGTTGAAGCCGGCTGCGAGCTAACCTACTCATCATTGCTAGGCCTGAAAGTATTACAACTGCTGTTAGACAGCTTAAATTTGAAAAAATAAAGAAAAAAAATAATGAAAATTTTGTTTAATACTGTCATGCTGTGGTCATAAAGAGAATCAAAGTGAAATACCATAATTATTTATGTTTCAGCTAAAATATAATGGTGTTAATAAGATCAATGGCATTTTGAATGCATGCAAAATAAGCCCCAGCTATCTAGCTATCCGTATATCACATCTTTTCTCATAATTGAACTTGGTGCAACATAGGTTCGGTTGCACTCTATTATAATGTCTATCTTCTATTCATATTCAATAAAATATTCAAGCACGATGATCCTATATAGGGATAGAATATGTTAATAAGAAATAGATCCGGGCTCGTTGCACGATAGATTTCACTAATTTGACAATATTCACTCTGCAAATTCTTTGGTACTATATCTTAATAAAAGTAGATTTTATGAACTCCAAACCAAACATTGACAAGCTACTAAGGCTTCCCATTTCACATCCAATATTATTCAAGTCATCTGGAGGCCTCTTTGCTTTCATTAAAAAGAAAACTAAATTTTATATATATATATATATATATATATATATATATAGAGAGAGAGAGAGAGAGAGAGAGAGAGAGAGAGAGAGAGAGAGAAGGTTACCTTCAATAAATTTATAGAGAGAAGACCACCATCTTTCTTTTGAAACCTGGTACTGATTCAATGATGAATCAATTTCATCATCATGCTTTCCTTCTAGAACACTCTGAAGAGTGATGACTGCATCCTTAGTTTTCTTGAGAATGTTATTCTCATCCACGACTTCAAGAGATTTGAGATCATTGTGTGAAGATGTGAGGCTGACAGCAAGTGCTAATTGAGCAGCAACTGCCCAGCGAGAAGAGGCAAGCCATTTCCTTTGACCATCCTGCCTTCTGATCTCTTCCATGTTGGACTTGGCAGAAACCAAACTCTATATATTTTTAAGAGAACAGAAGATATATGGATTTAAATATAAATCAATAAGTGTAAAAATCAATGACCTAAAGAGAGATGAAAGCATTGTTCATAAAGGTAAGCAAGATTAAAAAAAAAAGGGTAAGCAAGCTACTGTCTGAAAAATAAATGCCTTCTGACAGATGATGAGCAGAAGAAAATGAAGTTCATCAAGAATTTAGGCTTCGTTGGGACGGCTTTTTTACTACTTCTTAAAGTAGCTTTTTAATATAAAAATTAAGCAGCTTTAAGAAGCAGTAAGAAAGCTGTCCCAAACGAAATCTTATTTGACTTGAAGTGAAGGGAATGAAATGAATTTTTTTTTAAAGGCTTAAATCAATGGTTATTGGATCATAATCAACTAAAAAATTGTTTGGATTTCGTTTCCTTTCCTCATTTTCCTTCAATTCAAATAGAGCGTAAATAATGTCATGAAGTAAAAGACTGGGATTAATCCATGATTACCCGCAAGTATTGAGCATTGGCTGCTCCAGTACTCTGGACCATTTTGGAGAAAGCACTTTCTTCGTTTGATAAAAGATCCTCCGGCGTATCGAATTCTAAGACCTTCATTGAAAAAGGTAGATTATATGACTTGCCAATAACTTATGAATAGTGTTGTTGTCATTAAAAATTGTTGGTGCTGGAAGAGCATGCCAATAAAGGACTAACAAAAATATTATCATGGTTAAATTACCTAAACAGAATGAAAAGGAGAAATATTTATTTCATGAATCTCGACCGTAGAACTAATCCACCTGAAAACTATAAATTGCTCAACTATTATTAAAATGCTGCAGCAAACATATTCTTTTGCTTTACCATGTCAATAAGTTTAAATCAATTTGTAAACGGGCAATCATTAGCACCTTTTCATCAGAGTATCATGACGAACAGAAACCAAGAGCTTGTAAGACCCAAAATTTTATCTTTAAATTTATTCTAAAAAGGTAACTGTGAACTTACACTATTAAATTAATATTAATAGTTGAATTACTGTTTAGTAATTATTAATATTTATTTTAAGTAATAAATACAATTTAATTAAATATTTAATTGATTATGAATAGGTGCAACTTTTGGCTGTAAAGAGTTTGATAAACCATCTTTTTGTGTGGGCCTCTCATAACTTCCCTTATCTGATAAAGGCTAGGTTTGGTTGGGCGTAATTCGCGGCGTTTTCGTTCTGAAACGTGAAAAAAGATGTCGGTTGTTGTTTGTATGTATACCTTTTACAAAATTGTGTTCTTCAATGTAAAACCCGAAAACGTCGTTTTAGGCTTCGCACGCTTTTCAAAGCGCCGCGACATAGTTTTGGAACCACCGTTTCTCACCAAAACTCTTTCTGTTACCAAACGAGGCCCAAGATTTCAGCAAGCAAACAATCAAGGCACGACACAGTACAGTGGAGACACTATAGAGTTCGGCATAGTGCATTAGAGAGGAGTGCGGCACACAGCAAAATCGGATCCGGCATTCTGCAGGAGAAGTATCGGCACAGTGCTGTGTTGTGAAGAGAGGGTTACAGGGCAGTGAAGCAAAGATCGGTATAGTGCTAGAACTGTGAAAGAATTCGGCATAGATGCAAAGCAGGACTTTGCCGTGTGAAGAGATTTGGTATAAATTGAAGCAAGTTTTGTTGTGAGTAAAAAGGCTACTCTGTGGATTAAATAGCAGAGTAAACGAAGAAGGAGAAGAACAGGAAGATTAGGGAAGGAAAAAGAAAGAGGTAAGCATTTTGGTACATTCATAGTTGTCTTTTAGATTTCCAAAAACGTGATAAAAATTTCTAAAGCAATTATACCAAATTGCATTTTAGGATTCATTAGGTATATGCAAAAGGGATGTTTTGAGATAAATTATTATGTTAAATATAAAGTTGATTTTATACAATTTATTTGAGTAATAGATTATGAAATTTATAGTTAAAGAAGTGATTGTAGGTGACTTACCAATGCAGAAGATTAAGAATTGGAGAATTGGAGGAGATAGCTCGTAAGAAAAGTAAGTTATGCAAATTTTAATTTACATTCACCTGCATAGCAGGTGAGGCAAAAGGGACCTAAAAAGAGGCAAAAGGGACCTCTATGTAGTTCAATGACGATAATACCAGAACATTCTTATGAAAGTTTAGCCAATTCTTTAGAAGACTAATTTTGATATTCTTTATATATTTCAAATGAATTATAGATTAATCCTAAATAAGATTTTATGATGTTTTGTAAGTAATGGCAAGTTTATTTAATAATAATTTCAATGTTGTGATTTTTTATAATGTTGCATTTAAACAATTATTTAATTTGCATAACTTTATGAGCCTTATAACTCACCAGTTTTTATATTGGCTATTATTACAGAGAAAAACAAAGAGAAAGTTGATACTGATTGGACAAGTGTTGGAATGTTTAGTTTTTCCGTTTAAAAGTGTTTGTAATGTCTTACAATGAGGTATGTAAATTGTCTAATGTGATGAAACATTATGAATTTCTTAGTGGTTCTGTAAGTATTTGTGTTGTGGTTGGAGTTATTTGATGTTTTCGTTTATTCAGTATTTGAAATTGTTGGTGGATGTTTTTATTCAAGTATGCAATTGATGTGAAATATTAATTATGGAAAATGAATGTTATGTACAATTTTGTGATACTCTACGTTACTGGCAAGAGGCATCGTAGGTTGTCACAAAGCTGTCTTAGCTAAAAACAGTCCATGTAAAGAAGAAGGTACGTGGATGTAAAATAATTTTTTTCCTTGTAAATAATAAAATATATCATCTGAGTGGTGATTTCACAATAATCTTCAAGAAAACTGTGGAGAGGTATAAAATATTTCATGTGGCATCATACTCTTGTAGCTGAAACTTACTCAGCTAAACATGACGATGATAAAATTTCTTTATCCATTTTAATTGTGTACCTCAATGATTCAAAAGAATTGCAAACCTCATCATACAGAAGAGAGTTCGTTAACATTAGTTTGTTTAGATGTAATGCTTCTCATGGAATATAATAAAATACAGCCTAAGGTTCTCTATTAACAATTTCAAATTTACAAGGAGGTCTTAATTGAGAAAATGAAACATGAAGCACACTTTTGTATTATTTAAGGAGTGAAGGCTCCAAACTTTTCTAATAATCTCTACATTGTTTCCTATCGCAAACTGTACACAATAAACTGCATCAATGAAAACATAACGGAATGAGCCCTCACTAATCAGGTAGCACTGCCTTTGGTTTTGGTGCAAGGTTGTAGCTAATTTAACCAACTTAAAGTGTAGAGTTAAAACTGGAAACTAAATTGTAAAGAGATCTCATAAATCAGGTATTGGAACAAGGTTGAAGTAGTTTAAAATCTTAAATGCAGAAATGGAATTTAGATAATTAAACATGCAAACTAAACTGTGAAGGGATGGTTAACTTCCCTGTTTTCATCATAAAGGAAAGGTACCTTGCCAGAATGGAGAAGTAGGATCCTATCACAATCGATTATAGTATTCAAGCGGTGGGCTATGATTAGCATTGTGCAAGACTTGAACTCTTCTCTAATTGTTTTCTGAATAAGGGCATCAGTTCTGACATCAACAGCTGCTGTTGCTTCATCAAGAACAAGAATTTTGGATCTTCGTAGTAGTGCACGGGCAAGACTTAAAAGTTGCCTTTGTCCAACACTAAAGTTTTCCCCTGCCTCAGAAACCTAAAAAAAAAACCAAATATGATAAGTAAGATGCTCTACTGAAAGTTGTTTTCCTCAGAAACCTTAAAAAAAAACCAAATATGATAAGTAAGATGCTCTACTGAAAGTTGCTTTCATCAAGTATGAGGATCCCATCATCACAGAACTTTTCTGTTCAATCCATATAACCCAATAGCCAAAAAATGAGAAGAGGCTCATAACATAAGCAATCGATTAATGCCATATTGCCATATTCAAGGGAGTCACATCAGTCACTTGCTTGGGTTAAGCAACAAACTAGAAGGGCAAAGTAATAATTTATATACATATACATATACATACATACATACATATACATAAATACATATATATTATATATATTCCAATATTAAATTCTGCATTTGCTGAATATTTAAATGGAATAATTTCCTAGCAGATTTGCCATGGAAATGAATGGATGCCAGAAGTGCTGTTTAAAGGAAACAAAAAGACTAGATGATAGCTAACTTAGTTGATAAATAAATAGAGAGGTGTTACCAAAAATTTTGGATCCAATCCCACTTAACAACAAATAGAGAGGTGGTCTGCGGACTATAGCCGGGTGTTAGAGGTCGGGGGACCATAGGCAAGGAGGGTAGTCGGATGCCAGTGGTCAAAGGACTGCAGTTAGTGCAAGTTCTTTTTATCAGAAAAGTACAAAGGAAAATAAAAAGAAACTAATTGCAATAAAGCAAACAAACAAAAAAAAAGCTTTATCACACACCTTTTATTCATCCCTCTATATATAATATAAGTTAAAGGTGTTGAAAATTTGATCTTATTCAAATTTATCCTTAAAAAATCATTTTTATGCAAGGTTTATCTGACTTGATAAGCATTATGCCTAATTTCTTTAAGCACCTAAGGGAAATCTTTTAAGCAGCAAGTGCCACTTCTCTAAAACGCCTAGTGACAAAATAATGGCAAGGGAGAGCTTTATCTAAACTTTCTTTCAACAGAGTTAAAAGCAAATTGTTCAAGATAATAGCAATGGAAAAACATCATTTAAAGTATTTGTTCAATAGAATACTATGTGGCAAAAATGCAAGCTACATGTTTACATTGATGATGAAATCAATTTACATAAGGCTTGATGCATGCTAAAACATTCATAGTTATAGAGAGATAGAGAGTTTGTTCTCGTAGCATTTGTATGAAGATTCAACACATATAGATATAAGAAAGTAGTGCAAGAATTACAAGAGGCACCTGCCTAACCCATTTAAAATGATTCCATTAGTGTTTGTCATCGATTACAAATGATGCTCTTCCTTAGAGAAAGGTATTGATTCAACGTAGTAAACATAAAATATATAAAACATATTTATATGGTTGAAGTTGGAAAAGCCTTGTGACATGAGAGGTATCCTTAAAAGATCATTTACTAATTTGTTTGAGCGCACTCAATTGAGGAGAGGAGACCACAGATAAAGAAGTTCAACATAAAACCAAGTGCTAATGTTAGAAGTCAAAGTTGGTGCTGATGGAATGCATCTATCTTATAAATGATGGCATGCCTTGATTTTATCATCGATGATAGATGATGAAGTTAGTAGGCTTCGAAGTAGCCAATAGACAATGGTTAGAAGATAGTAGGACAAAGAACCATAATTGAACGATGTTGGTTAGAAGACCATAAGTGGGCGATGGAGGTCCCATAGATGGGTGGCGGTGGTCAGATGCCAGTGGTCAAAGGACTACAGTTAGGCGATCGTGGTAAAAGATCATAGTAATACGATGATGGTTGGAGTTCTGCTACAGAGTTAAGAGGTCCATAGTCGGGCGATAGTTTTTGGAAGACTGTAGTTTGACAACGGTTGTCAAATGTCCGTAGTTAGGTGATCGAGGTTGGAGAATCATAGTCGGGCAATGGTGGTTATAAGACTGTAGTTGGATGACGGTAGTCGAAAGGTCATAGTCAGGTAATAGATGTTCGAGGACTAGAGTTGGCCAAGGGTAGTCATAGAACCGTAGTCAAGTGACAAAAGTCGAAGGGTTGTAGTTTAGTGACGGAGGTTGAAGGACTGTAGTCAGGAGATAGAGCTTGAGGAATCGTAGTCAGGCGATGAAGGTTGCAGGATTGTACTCAGGGGACATGGTCAGGTGACCGTAGCTGAATAACGGTGGTAAGGGGATTGCATTCAGATGACAATGGCATAAAAAAATCTCCTTGATTGGGAATCACAATACATAATTGAATTGGAAACTTTTAAAATTAAATTCAGGACCATTTGAGCACCGATTTTAGCAAACTTATAATCGAACTGAACGACTCGATGAGACAAATCCAATGACAGAAAAAATGATTTATTGTTTGTTTACTATATTGAATCAATGCATTCCCCAAGGGGGACATATTTGTAACCGATGAAAAATATTAATGGAATCATTTTAACCAAGTCAGGCATCATAGTTTTTCATTTTTCCAAACTTTCATGCCTACACAATTATTGCATTCTTCTCGTATATGTGTATATTGGATATTCATATAAATAGTAAGACAATAAACTCTTTATCTCTCTACTGCTGTGAATGTCCTAGCATGTAATAATGTTAGATGGAATTGAAGTGTTCAAAAATAGAATGAGAAATTTAACTCTATATGCCTCATAATAGTTGTAATTGACTAAATATATCCTTGGATTGTGTTATTGGAGAAATATATACAAAATTTTTTTTGGACCAAATTACCCTTTCTATATATAAATAGGAGTTGAAACCTTTTTCTTAAGAGTGATGCAAACTTTCAAAAAATGGAGCTGCTCAATCATTCATCCTCTCAACACCTCCATCTAGATTCTGCTGGGGCACTGGATTCGGCGCAGTGACGTTGAGCTCTCTATTCTATGATACTTCTAGATTCTGCATCTAATGTTGTGGCGTTGGGCACTGGAAAATATTTTTTATTATATAAATTTCAACACCTTATCAATACCACCCCATCCATACCCTCTATTCCAGCTACTTGCCGGCGAAGGAAGAGGGAAAGGGGGAGAGAGGATGAGAGAGAATGTTGATTGGGGCATTTTTGTCCATCGCTTATGTTTGGAGATTTCTTTTAATTGTAGGTAGGTAACCTGATTTCTACCTCTGTTTTCAATTAGTTCATTTTCTTGGATTTTATCTCTCGCAAATTGATAAAATGATATTTTCTCCTAATACAAATAATTTTCAGCGCATAACTTCTGATATGTAGATATGATTATTATGATCATTTTGTTTTAAATATTTTATGATTTCACCGTATAGATTTATTGTTATGAATGATAATATAAAAAATTGAATATAACATCAACATATGCATCTATGTTATAGATTCATAGATTTCCTATAGATTTCAGCGACATATGAATTCTGACACTTTATCGTTTACCAATCATTTTGATTTATATTGTTCATTGATTTACTACTAGATTCATATAAATTTTGTACATATCATATTAATTGATTGATACATATCATATTAATTCTATTGTCTTGCATTGATTGCTTTGGTAGGCCCAGGTGACTTGTTGGGCTTTATAAGCTCATTGTTGGTTCAATTAATTTTAGCTTCGGGAAGGGGAACAGTCTGTTCCCGTCTCGTTAATTCGGGCTAGCCAGGTCGTGTTGTGACATTCAGAACGGGATAGAAATGGAATAACGGTCGACTAAGAATTCGACGTTGAGATCGAACAAATAAGCGTGGAAGTGAGCTGGACGGTGTTAGTCGCGTGGGTGCGGGAGTTGAATTCATGCATGGAAGTGAGAGGTAGATCGTGCGGGAGTAGTGCTTGCGACTGGGCACGGGAGGCGGAGACAAACTCGCGGACGAGCAAGCTTGTGTGTGAGTCAAAGTGCTCATGGGCGGCGCAGGCTGGGGTCGTGGATGGGCTTCCGCGTGCGGGACGGAGATGCAAGCTAGACTACGGATGACGGAGATGCAAGGGAAGGAGTCGGGCTCAGGGTCTTCATTCGACTTCCTCTATCTGTGTGTGAGGAGAAATTATTCTGAACGGAATCCAGACGGGAAGAATCGCCCTAACATGTGTATACAATATGCATCAAATTTTTGTACACACTACTTGCACACGGTGTGTACAGTCACAGTCCGGACGGGTCTTCCCGTTCGGACTCAGCACGGAATAGTTTCTCGTTTGTGAGAGAGTAGATGGGGTGTAAACATAATCGATGTCACATAATTTTGGTCGCAATTGGAATCATCTCATTTAACCACACTGCCTTGTTAGAATCAAAGTGTGGATGGATACAAAATAATTTTCAGAGCTCTAAAATTAGATTTTGAATGTTTTTCAAATCTAAAAATAACTATGAAAATCTATACTTGATTAGATTAATTTTGCGAGCTATACCAATAGGATAATTCAATAAATTAATTCTTAATTTATCAATTTTTGGTCTTCCTATTTTTAAACCATTTTATCTTTTTCAAAACTCATGTTATTGAGATAAAAAACAAAAATAAATTGGACTGTACATTTAGTTTCACTTTAACAATCATTCTTCTTTCAAATATTTAAGGTTGGTATGCACTTGTGAGGGATATTATAAGTTTTATGCAAATCATACTTTGCTTAGTAGTTATAGTAATGCGTAGTGGCTGGTTTTATCTGAAAATAAATTAACAAAAACAATGAGGCTGATATTATCCACAAGAAAAAAAAATGTAGAATAAGCAACTAGTTAGAATTCATCACAATTGTGAGCCATAAACAAAATTATGAGACAACTTTGGGGATTTATAATTATATAAATAAAAAACATACAAGCTTTGGTTGAGCAAAAACAATTGCAGGCAATTATTTTACCTTATATTGATTGTGAAAAAAGCAAGGAGAACATTTAAGAATGCAAATATTAGATATTTCCAATACTTACTACATCATATTACAATCAATATTTTTGGAGTAAAAACAATAACGGGAAAGTATTTTATCTTATATTGACTGTGAAAAGAAAAGGCAAACATTTGAGCATGCACATATTAGATATTTCCTTCACTTATTTAAGAACATATTACAATAAATATTTTTTATCTAATAGAATTATAAATGCACTCCTAAAATCATAAAAATAGACAATAATAGATGTTAAAATATTATGTTCTTCAACTAACTTTTAATTAAAATTGTTGGAATGCGAGTTGTGCTCCTATTTCTTATTCACAATATTATACTGATGTTTCATTGCATGACAATGCACAGTGCAGTATGCTAGTCTCCATGCAAAACATGAGCAAGAGAAAGAAAGCAGACCTCAGCATCAAGCCCTAAAGAGTTCCGACGAATAACATCTTTCAGATGTGCTCTCTCTAAAGCTTCCCAAAGATCAGCATCGTTATGCTCATTGAAGGGATCCAGATTAAACCGAACAGTTCCTGAATGGAAGTGATGGATCAACCAACCGTTTTCACATAAACAGTTTCGTTGAAAAACTGAAGCATAAAAGCATATAAAATACATCCAAGCACCAACAGTTACTGAAAAATAAAGGAACGGAAATTACTTTTTGCAAGGGTGGGTGCAAATTTATTTCTTTTCTTGATAGTTGCTTTTTTACTTATTTGTGTACATCTTTTCATCTTACTTTTATACAAAATATGAGCAGAAAATTCAATCATATAATCTCCCATTTTCTATTCTCCTCTCTTCTCATTCAAATTTTTTCAGACAACATTGAAGTCGAGGGGTACTTAATGTGGAAATTCTTCTCTAGCCCAACGGGTCCTCCAACAACCTTGAAAGCTAGTCTTTGTCTAACAAAAATGATGAAAACATATGTGAGTTGGTCTCCTAAAAAGAAGAAAACTATCAGAAGAAGCTAATAGACAAGAAGTTAGCAATTTCAATGCTCGAAATCAACCCCCATGAAAAATTCATATAAAAAACATGAAAATCTATGATGAAATACCATTCAACTAAAGAAATTCCAAAGAGAACCATCAACATATACAAAATGCAGTAGCTCTCTCCATCCCCTTACAACCATATGAACTGTAAATCAAAGACAACCAACCATTCTCCCAGCAAAAGCTTATTTCAAAACCATCACCAGAATATATTGGCTGGCTCAAAAAGATGAATTCTTGAGTACTCGAGCGCCCACCAAAAAAAAAACTATTGCTTAGAAGATAGACACGGGAACATTAGATCATATGACAGGAGATAAAAAGTTTTCCATAATTAAAGCCCATGCTGGAAAAATTATAATGAACGGATTGAAGATGGGTCACGATCAAAAGCGATCATTAAACAATTTGAATGATAATATCATCATATATCATATATCAAAAGTCAACTTTTAAGCCAAATACAATAGCATAGAACATACCTGAAAACAAAACTGGAGATTGCGGGATTATTCCCAGAACATTGCGTAAATCCCAAAGACCAAATTTGGAAACATCACAATCATCAATAAGAATTTTCCCTCTCTCCAATTCCACCATCCGAAATAACGCATTGATCATACTAGACTTTCCAGCCCCAGTACGGCCAACTATTCCAATTTTCTCACTTGCTGCAATTCTGAAGGATATGCCATGTAGAACAGGAAGTTCAGGCCTATATCTAAGAACAACATCCTGGAAATCAATTGTTCCTGAAGAAGGCCAACCAGGAGGTGGTCTGTTGCTTTCGATAACAGGAGGAGCCTCAGAAGGTAGTTCTATATAATTTCCAACTCGCTCCACAGCATTTAAGCTGTTCTCAGCAAGACTCGCAAGTCGCAGAACAGCTGTCAATAGGCTTGTAATATTTAAAGCATAAGAAAGAAGAAGTCCCATTGTTGACGCAAATGCCTTTTGGTTTTCAGCACGCTGGTTTTGCATTACCGCAAAGGATGCAGTAAACCAGATCATAATCCCTCCCAGGGTTTCTAACCGTATAGCAAGCCAACGGTTGGCGCTCATATTCACAAGTGTGTATCTAACGTTATTGTCCATGGATTTCCCATTAATACGAGCCATTCTATCATATGCTTTGTACGCACGTATGGTTGAAAGTCCATTCAGTGCTTCCCCAAATTGGGCATAAACAGGGGACCTAGTTATGGAATCCAGGCGCTTCACTTCACGGGCAGTGCTCTAAGAACAATAAGAAGAACATAGAAAAAGAAAATCAACAATCATGCGATTTCATAA